GTGCTGGCAGGCAGGGCGAAGCAGACAGCAAGAGGAAACAGATAGAGAAAAGATAACAGTTGTCATGACGTCAATTAGCTACAACTAGGAGCTGTATGCTCCATGAACCAAAATAAGAAACCCCCCCCCCCCCCCCCCCCCCGTTATTAGAGTGGATCACAGAAACAATAAGAACATCCACACTGGGCAAACTACACAGAGAAGTGTTGAGATGCAATGGCATGTTCAATAATCAATGCAGATACAGAAATCTAGGCGTATTGATCTTTCACAAAAACCTTGGCAGCCTCTTTGATATCAAAACGGGATCCATGGATACTCCTTATACATAATGTATGTGTGACATTAGAATCTAATATAGACTTTGAATATATGTATGATTAGAGGCACTTCATAATTGTTGAGTCGTTTTTTAGTGCGATTTACGTAGGACGTAAACCCTCATTTGCACTTGTTCTACCTCAGCTAATAAATCTATTCATTTGAGCCAACAAAATGTAATGTAGGAATTCTTAGTGCTGAAATTAGAGCCATTAATTATAAAGTGAACTCAAAAAATCAACTTGATTGTGATAAGACGTAGATGGTGATGCAATTCTTTGAGTGCGTGCAGTCAGTTTTGGAGAGTGAGTCAGTCCTAAATGGGCCAATTATTCAACACACAGATAAGTGGTGTTTATGAAGCAGGATTTATAAGGACTCTGAATGATAAGAAATACTTTGTTTTGCCTTATATTTATTTGTTTAGGTTTTCTGTTTGCAGATCACACCATTCTTTGTCAAATCAAATCAAGTTTTATTTATATAGCACATTTTTGGTCGAGCCAAAGTGCTGTACATACAATAAAAATACTTTACAATAAAAACACTTTACAACAAATACAACAGCACAAATATAAAAATCAAACACAGGGAAAAGTCAGGAGTCGTGCTCCGCTCAGACTAGAAATGTCAATTTTTTATGTTCTGAATCTACTTCTAGGACAGAAAGAGTGACTTAATTTTAATCATGATATATCTCAAAGAAAGAAAGAAATCCCATGTGCGTCAACATACATGGCATACTGGATTTTGTTAGGAAGCAGAGGTCCTGATTTCCTCTCATACGTCTTTTCTATATTGCGCAAAACATTTTCAAACCATGGTGTTTGTTCAAAGTTTCTTAATAAAATATGGAATTTTAAAAGATATCAATGTATCACGACATAATAACTTTATGATTTACCTTCCCCCAATACTAGTTTTTACTTAACAGAGCTGGAACGTACCTTAGTGTAACTCTATAAAACCTTTGTTATTCTATCTATCTTATTTAGCCAAGCTAACTGTGCTGCCTTACACCTGCTAATAGCTAACGTTAACTTGCTCTTCTCCTATCAAATTTGACACAGATTTGTTTTTCACAATGTAGCATTATCAGGGAAAAAAAAAGGGTGTTACAAGAGTGAGTCTACTGCGTTCCATTCACATTTTCTACCTTAGTTTCAAGCTAGCACCTACAGTACCACGGTATCATCACATTTTTTGAAATGTATAATCAACTTGACACCGAAGAGCAGTTTTTTGTGGCATACTTAATCAGAAGCAGTGTTTTATAATAATAGTTAGATTTATTACAGGAATTCCAAGATGCGTTCTCCCCTGCCCTTCCACTCTAATGCTGTGTGTTGTGTTTTTTGGTTGCATCTTAGATCGTGTTTGTGCCAGCTCGCAGCCTGTCAGGAGTCATCAGAGCATCTTGCAGTTGGTGGAGGGCCGTCTTGACCGCGATGGCGTGACTAAACTGGGCTCAGGGCCTCCAGGGTTTCGCTCTGCGCTTTTCTCGCTGAGTGGTGACACATGTGTTGTGGCAGGGCAGCGTTACGGGGATGCATTATGGGCTATCAGGGGACGGCTTGTTGTGGCTGTGAGGATTAACAGGCCAGATGTATTAGGGTGCGTGGCTGCATGAGGTGGATGCAGCACATTAAAGGCAGACAAGAGCATCCGTATGTGTTTTAAAAGAAAATAATACAGTTCAAATCTAAATGTCTCTTTTCTACTCCAGAAAATACATTTTTCAATAGATTTTTCTCTACATATTAAAGTATACAACTTAAAGTTTGTTGTAATAGCTATTGACTCCAACATAAATATGTGACTGCTTGTGAGTGTTGAACTTTTTTTTTTTTAGAATGTGAGGCATTTGTGCCAGTGTCTGTACATATTAAAAAAATAGAGTGTTGCAGGAATTAGTCTTAAAATCTGTCTTTGAAAAGTTGCTAACAAGTGTCTAAATGAGACTACTAAACATCATCCCTGAAAAATGTGACCGTGATGTAGTTCCTTTAAAGCAAAACATTCATTTTTTACTTCTGGTGATTGCATTAAAACTTTTTTTTTAAATCACAAAATGGTGTTAATCTGTGGAGATTATCCGTCTGAACAAAATGTGTAGGTATTGTAAACATGTGTTTTTCTGCAATATACTAAAATCCAATGGAAAAATCATGCTGCTTTTTGTCGTGGGAGCCCTTGCGATGCTAACTTCCGGATTGGCCTACAAAGTTCGTCATCGCATCACTACTCAATTCTCCATCGTCTTAATCAATTCACGCTCTGTTGCTAAACTGAAATCATTGCAGACAGTAAAGTTCTGTAAAGAATCTTTAGGAAAAGGTTTTGCAGTAACTGCAGGACTTCAAGGAGAAGGATCTCAGGTAATGAATGCAGTTTTGGTCGATGATGGTGAAGTCATAAAGTCTCGGCTATAAAAGAATATCACGTCACAGCTTCAATTATTTTTCCCTTGCGCATAAACAAATATGTTATTATTTTCTATTAAGATGTCCACCTTAGTTGTGCGTCTTTCAGGAGCACAAAGGAGTATTCATGATGGGGAAGAGTTGCCTTAGGGGAAACAGAAGTCTGAGGCTACACCCTGTATCACACACACACGGACACACACACTAACGCAGCTCAACTTGTCTTGGCAGAGACAAAACAGCAGCGAAAGAAAGGGACAAAGGGAATGAGATGCAAAGCCTGGAGCCTTTTTTTCCAACTACCATAACCAATGACATGACATCAGCATAGAATTATTGAAAATCTATTGAAAACGCAATATGGACTACTGCAAAAAGAAAATCTCAGGAAGCTCAATATTTGGTAAAGGCTAAATCTGTGTTAAAATACTATTTTGAATCAAAAATAGTGGCGCTGCAGCGATATCCTTGTCTACAGACTGAACAGAACATATGTGTTTGTTACAAATCCTCTTTAAAAAAACTAAATACATGTTTCAATGATGATGTGAAAATTATATTTTATGTTTTCCACATCATGCAGCCCTAATTTCTGTCTTTCAGTGGTAATCCCTACTTCCCTTTGTACTGAAATATTCCGTTTTTTGCACTTTTTGGCAAATAACATACCATCACAGATTGGTATATAAACATCACACCTAAAGTGGTGTTAATGTCATGCTCAGCACCACGTCTGCTGAAAGGTAGCCGTTAAAAATGCATTGCATCTCATTCAGCATGCACTTCATGTCTGCTTAGAGCCGTGTTTTGAAATGCTGCTCCAGATGTGAGTCTGAGCGCCCCGCTGAGAGAGATGAATGGCTGGGGGGGCTGCAGGCTACCTACAGGTTCACATCCTTAATGAGCAGAAGAGTCTGCTGAGAGCCAGATATGATTGATAGCGCCGCGACAGAACTGGAAGAGGGGTAAACGCAGCGAGGGCTTTTGATAAAGACGATGGGGCGGAGGGCTTTGGCACGAGGAGAAGGAATCTGGCATTGGACTTGCCCGAGATCAATGCCAGCAAGCCTTCCTCTTGTTACAGCCCGACTTCTTTGGTCTGTTAGTTAAATCTGAGCTGGATGTTTCTTCCTGTTGCGTGCCCAGCTATATTGCACGTAACACACTTTTCCCTCCAAGGGAAACAAATAGCATAAGGTGGAATTCCTGGAAAATGACTCGGATGTTGTTGCTAGTCGAAGTGAAGACATAGGAGATATGTATGTATTGCTCTTACTCCATCACACTTAATATGTTGGATTTTTTAATCCGCTCTCAATAGCCCACTGCGAGTGAGTCAAGGCTTTTGACACTACATCGAAGAAAGCACAGAAATGACATCGAGGAGAGAATTACAACAGAAGCTCTGCTAAATCGTGTCCATTCAGGCGGCAGCAGCTATACAGGCAACCGCCACTTCAGGGTTTGCAGCCAAAGGCAGTCCCCACGAAATAATGAAGTGAGGCTGGATGGATGCCAGGAGGGGGGCTGCTTATGTCAGCCTGCATAATGTGTTGGACCAGGGTCTCTGTCATGTCATATAGGGAGGTATTGACGGTCTAATTCTAAACAATCCAGCAGTATCACATCTAATCGTTCTACTGCAGGATTATTGGAAATGTACTCAGTTCAGTAACAGTTTGCATTGACTTAAGCAATGTTGCTCCTAATCACCTTAACAATAATGTGAAATGTAATAAACTTTTGTTCTTAATTTAAAAAAAAGTGTTTTTGTTTTGTTTATGAGTTCTGAGATTAGAATCTGAATTATGAGATTTTTAGAAAAAAAAAATCTGACTTTTTTTTACAGAATTCTGACTTTAACCTCCGAATTTTGAGTATTTTTTCTCATGTGGACCTAATACTCTTCCGTACAGAAATACTCTGTAAAAATGATTTTATATACAAACATTCATTTAAACACAGCCCATTTAACAATAGGCAATTGTTTATCTCTCAGTGTAACCCCTTTGGCTGATGGTAAGGGCGTCAACAAAATAAAAGCACTTGCCAAAATGTATAAATACATATGATATTATTATACTATATCATTTATCACAAAGGCACACACAGTCATATAAACATCCCAGGCTTTGTGAGAGGAATAACTTATGGCGGCAAAATGCCCACTTTTACTTTTTACCAATAATACCACTCAAGCTGATACTCACGCGACTTAAACATTAGTACAGACGAGCTAAACGAATGTCATCTTACCTGTGTTGGTTTGTGTTGACCTCGTCCTCGGCTCCACACTTGCTTTGTGTTAAAAAATCCAAAGGTGCTTTGATGAAAAATCGAAAAAGTCCCGCTGAATAAACACCACCGTGTCCTCTGTGGCAGCGAGTTGTTCTAATTTTAGCTGCTAGCAAACACGCGAACCACACTGGCGGTTTAAACGCCACTTATGTAATTACTAGTTAATGAGCGAGTTGTCTAAATACTTATCATTACTCTCACAACACGCGCGCGAAGCATCCCCGCGCTTCCCTGGTAGTTGTTCTCTTGCTCTGTGCTGTGGAATTAAAAAGGTGTGTTCATGGTGTCTCGGTGCACTGGTAGTCCATTCAGGGCGGGAACCCGGGCAGCAGGTTCCGAGTAGCTCGTCGCTACGGACGGGTCGACAGTTAGATAAATGTGCGGCGGAGAAAACAACATCAGCGCCGCAGCTCCATCCCTCCCAGGCAACTACTGAGGAGGCGTTCAGGGACTGCTCGGAATTTACCCTACTCTACGAGTCCTAAATTGTTGATAAACTCTGTGACTTATTGTAGCAGCTGTTAACCATTTCATTTAGTTAAGGGCAGCAGCCACTACTGTAAACTACCTAATTATATTTACTCAAGAACTGTACTAAAGTACAATTTTGAGGGATTATGTAATACCTCAAAATTGTATAGTCAAATCAAATCAAATCAAATCAAGTTTTATTTATATAGCACATTTATAAACGATTTTTGGTCGAGCCAAAGTGCTTTACAAATAATAAAAATACCCTACAGTAAAGACATTTTTACAGCTAATACAACAGCACAGTTTAGTATAATCAATCAATCTTTGATAACACTTTCATGATCAATCATTATAAAACATATCATATTATTCTGAAATGGACCAATCTACATAATGGGTACTTTTGGTACTTTAAGTATATTTTAAGGCTAATACTTTTGTACTTTTATTAAAGTAAGATTTTTAATGGAGGACTTGTACTTGTAACAGTTTTCCTGCTCTCTGGTAGTTCTTAAAATCTGAGTAATTCTTCCACCTGTGGCATCTAATGAATCTTTTCATTATTGATTATGCTGGCAACCAACAATGCATTAAGGATTATAACTCTATTTACTCTTTTTTGATTATTTTCTGACTTTATATTTCAAGCAAGTATCTGGTCTTCAGCATGACTAGCTTTATTTATACCAATAAAGTGTATACATTGAAATAAACAATGTTGTTGTTCTAATATTTATGCACATATTTTATTTGATCTTATTTGTTTTTATTCTAAAATGTAGCAAAACCCAATTTCTAAATCTTATTCTGATTAATTTAATATCGATATACATAATCAATATAGGTAACACGCCTCACAAACTTTTAACAGGAATTCTTTTTGTATTTTTGATTAAAAAGGCTCTTAACATAAAGCAACCACCATAAATATGAATCAAACGTAATGCATTCAGTCTCCTCAATGTCACATTGATATTATTATTGTTTACATGGAATTCTTCATTATCATAATTCTGACAGCACTTTAAGGCAATCTAACACTTTCTTTGGACGGGTTGTGTTGAAGGGAAGGTTGTGTGTTGGAGATCTGCTCTGCAGGGATGTGACCAACAAAGAGAGGGGAGGGAGGGAGCAAAGCCCCTCTCATCTGTCATGCATTTCCCCTTTGATTCAGCAGCAGCCACTGAATCTTATTTTCCAGCATTTGTCCCCCTGGGCGCTTTGTTCTGCATTCAGCTGCGGAATGTGCTGGAGAACACACTTAATTCTTCAAATCTCTGATGTTGTTTTCTCTCCTTTTACCTTTGTTTTCCAAAAGCTAAAACTACCACTGAAAGATTCTGGTTTGAACCAAGATGGCAAAAAGCAGGGGTGTCAATTCAGTCGGACATACTAATATCTGTTCATGTGATAACAAAGCTCATGATCAGCAGAGGAAACAATCCTATTAAGTGTTTCCAATTAACGTGCATTTTCGATTTCTATCGCTTTTCTAATAAAGACGAGAAAACATCAGTGTCCAATATGGGGGAGGTATCAGTATTTGTTGGGTTATTTTTGGGGGTTTGTGAAGTACTATTACCTTTTCTGTATGAAAAGTGCTATATTAATAAAGTTTGATTTAAATGGAATTTCTGCTCAAATAAAAAAGGCACTATATATATATATATATATATATATATATATATAAATAAAATATATATGTGTTTCAATTTCTGTCCCTACACATGAACTAATGCGACTTTCACCATTTCCCTATATCTTACAATTCTACAAAACACTTTTTTCCCCAAAAATTTGTTATTTTTTACTTCCAAAAGTTACTAATTCTTTAATCTGTTATTAAATGAGACAGCACCGTTAGTCAAACTCGCCTCATAGAAGTTGAGAGTAATCTGCTTTCAAACAAGAACAATCTAAAATGTATAATATAATTGAAGGTCAAATTTGCCAAACACTGCCAAATGATTTGTACATGCAATAATTGCTCCACCTGTTGGTTGTTTTGTGGCAATGTTAACATTTTAAAGGGTTGAATAACTGAATCAAGTGTATCAAAAGCCCAAAACCTTTAAAAAATACTGTATACAATATGGATGTTAGCTCATATCAACCCTAGTGTAGTTGTTTTATGGTAAATGTAAGTATGTAAGCACACAAACATGTTATGAAATGTCGTAGGACAAACCACTCCCAAACAAGTGTTTTTCTTTTTTCTTTAAACAATAATATCACATATAAATTCTCTCTATCATACATCAATTTGTAAGACATTTTACAAATTAAACTCAGCCTGAAGTACAGAAGAAAAGTACAAGTACATTAAGACACTGTGACACCTTTTGAAAACAGTAAGGCACCGATGCCTGTGGCATAGGTTCCAAACTAAAAGACAAAAAAAAAAAAATCACCAATTAAGAAAAGCTTAAAAGCAGAGGAATATAAAAAAAACTTGTCAAGGAAATAAAAGCAAAAAACAGTAGTGGAAAGCATAAACATTTTCTTTTTAAAATATTATAAGTGGAAAACATCTTGTGTGAAAAGATTATCAGGACAATGCGCTAAAATCATTTAGAACCAAGTATTTTAGTTTGTTTGTACTGAAGCTAAAGGAAGGCCATAATAGTCTGAATTTGAAATGCACTATTGATGAATTAAGTGAAACATTGAAATTCCACTGAATTGATCAAACAGTATTTTAGCAGTATTTCTCAATTGTGTGGTTGTGGTTATACATTGGTTTGCTTGTTTGGTTTGAGTCTTTGAATTTCAAAACCCCAGAGACCTTTTAGATGTCTCGGGTTATCCAACCGAAGTCTTATCAGGTAAAAGATTGTATTTTAATTGTTGAATTTTGGTGTCTGAATTACATTTTTCTTTTTGAACTTGAATTTTAGTTGTTTTAATTTTGGAGGCACATTTCCATAATTCACATACATTAAAAAACAATTGTACACTTGCTTTTTTAAAAGGGCAATTAGAAATACTACATTTTGTAAAGCTTTAAAATCACTGGTAATGCAATTAACTAAGTTTCAGTTTTAGATTTTCAATAGCTCCAAGAGAAATAAAGCAATTTTGGCCTATTTTAGCTTCCGTACATTGGTAGCAAGACCTAGTGTTAACGTCCAGAAAATAGATGGCACGTTAACACCACTAATAAGATGATGTGTGTTCCTCTAAGGAAAGTCTGAACCTGTATTTTGAATCCATTTTTATTTTATCTACCATCATTTATATATACGAAGAAAGAAATTCAACTTCTTCACTGATGATATTATCTTGACTGTGGAGACTGGCTGCCATCTGACACCCACTGACAGTGTGAAAGATCGCACTCTTTCCTGAACACCTTCTGTTGACTCAACACCATCACTCCCCTTTTTTCGGCAGGCTGTTTTTAATTAATTTACTTAAGATCATATCAAATTATCCAGGCTGATCAAAAAACAAATATTGCGTGTGGATTTTGGATTCAACGATATGATGTACAAGTGAGCTACTGCCATGCTATCTTTGAGACGGTGCTCTTTACTGTTGTGCTTCTGTTCCACACTGTTAAAAATCATCAAAGGTTTAAACTTTGTAAGATTGTTTTGATTTGAGCTCTCGTTACATTGCTTCAGAGAAGGGAGTTAAAAGAGGACACTGTTAATTCTCCTCTACAGAAAATAAATTAACAGAATAGACAACAGCAAACCAGAATAGTATTGCTCACAGGGGGCTTACATCCACAAACACAATTCCCTCCCCATTATAGATACAAAAATAGATAAGAAAACATCTACTGTATATAAAGTATATGGCAGACAATAAAAATGTGGGTTACTTTGTGCCAAATCACGTTAATTAAATTCAGAAATAGTTACACCCAACGAGAAAATGCAGTAACTACCTATATCACAGCACCCCGTACTGAACCTTTCCTGTCAACACACACACACACACACACACACACACACACACACACACACACACACACACACACACACACACACACACACACACACACACACACACACACACACACACACACACACACACACACACACACACACACACACACACACCCCCACACACACACACACACACACACACACACACACACACACACACACACACACACACACACACACACACACACACACACACACACACACACACACTTGGTAAACACTGCACAAAGCAAGCTTTCACCACAACCACAGGCACAGTTAAGAGTATATGTATTTTCTGTTGTCTGTAAATGAAATGAAGTGAGAAAGTAGCCACAGCTAAAAATACCTGTAGACATTCTGCCAGTTTGTCAATGCACACTGTGTGTATTCCCTTCAGTGAGTGTGTGCTTTCTGGAATTATGGATGCAGGTCTGTGTGCTCTCAGGGTGTGTCTGTGTCTGTTTTTGTAACGGATCCACTTACAGAAATGTATAAACTGACTAAAACATAAGGCAAAGGAATTCTGTGCGTGCAGCCACAGTACTTATTAGCACCAGAGCGGGCGAAACAGTAACAGGCACATGTTTTTCTCACATGTACTGCTGTGATATATCAGCAGCAAGTTATTTTTAATTGAAGAAAAATGTCATCAATGCCTTTGACATTCTCTGTGATGTTTGACTGGTGGATGGTAACTCAATATCGCACAACCACCAAAGTAAATACAACGATCAAATGTAGGCTAACATGTCTGCCCATGCTTTGAGAAAAACATTGTGAAATGCTTATTTCCGATAAATTACAGGGTTTTTTTTCTGATAAAGATATTGTTTGTTAAAGATCATTAGTGAAACACATCTTGTAAACACATATGCTTATTTCTTCTCAGAAATAGCTGCTATACGCCATCGAATCACCAACCGTGTTATTTCCGATAACGTATTTTTTTCCCGATAGAAATATAGTTTTTCAAAGATCATTAGTGGAAAGCATTCTTAACACTTTTTTTCTCTCAGAAATCAATGCTAAACGCCAGCGCAGCACCAACCGTGAGATGTTTTGCTGTATTGCTGAGAGCAATTCATGAAAGTGTCGTTGTTCAGCTCAAATCTCTGAATTAGTTCCCTGAAAGCCTATCCAAAATGGCCAGCACTTCCTTGGCCTCTAAATTACTTCGATGACGCCTCTATCCCTAGAGAGTTCTGCTGGCTATATGTCTGAATTCAACACATCATTTTGAAAAAATTGTAGTGGGCATTTGGGGTAATAGAAAGAAATAAAAAAAGATGTCTACGATTCGGGATACCATTCCCTACAAAGTATCATCACTTGGTATTGTATTGTTACATTTACAACATAGTGATTTACCTGATTTGTATACATATTCAATTCATGAAACTTCTCTCACTAATGTCTTCCCTGTATGGTAAAGGTGTTCCGTTTTTGTTTCTAGCCCAAGAACAACAAGTATAGTGTGATAAATCAACCCGCTCCATTTCCCAACGCATCACGAGTTGAACCACTTTGCGTCAACATTTAACATAATTATTAGCCCAACGCATCAAACTATGAAGCCTTACTATGGTCACAGTTTAAAGCAGGCGGTTAATAATGTGAATTCTAACAAAAACTAGACTAAGTACATTTTGCAATAAACGTCTAATGTTGTCGCAGATGGGAAAACATTTACAGTTAAAAGCCTGATTTGTTTCATAGAGTAATAAAAGGTGCCTTGTTTGCGTCCGTATCAGGGTTAGGTCCAATTCAAAACCTTTTTTTTTACTGCCTGAAAATGTGATTGGGCTGGATTGACACATGACGAAAAAGGTAGCTAGCAGCATTGATAGTAGCTTAAGGTCCACATCTCCTGCTTAAACAGAAGAAATTCACACTCAAAAGAACTAGTGGTGTTGTTTTCTCTGAGGCAAAGCATGGCACAGGTGCTGCCCTGTTTACTGATGTAACAGGAAGTTGCTACAATCAGCAAGCCAGTCAGGGGTAGGAAAAAGGTTTAAACCCCGTAAAACGTGATAAAAAAGCACTTCCCTGAATCAATAAATATGAATTTATCACTAAGCAAAAGTCTCAGTTAAAGGGAAAGTGTTAAGATTTGGCTATACCCAGATTGCAACCAACTGAATACCATTCCATTAACCAATGTCTTTACGAAACTGTGGTAAAAAGGACGGTAAGTGCAAATCGTAGAAACTCTCAGGTCCTTCACCTTGCTCCTTGCTCAACCTTGACATAACTGTACTATAGGAGCAACACAATTAATGTGGCGACTGGCAGAACAAGTTATACAAGCGTGTTGGAGAACTATGATGGCCTTTGTAGAGCCACTGTCCGTTCTCGTACATGGCGATGCAAAATGGCGGACTCGAACGAAGAAGTCCCACTCTTAATGTAGATACACAGAGCTCATTCTAAACTCACGAAAAAACTAAAATAATTCCTTGTTTCAGGTGATTTTACACTAAAACATAGATATGAATACTATACTTGATTTATGTAAGTATATCCCCTGAAAACTACACACTGGCCCAAATGATATTTTTTGATATTATTTACTAAGAGTTAGCCACTGAAAAATGTGGGCATGGTTTATTTGAGGTCCTGGTAACAAAAGCAAACAATCCCACAAATGTAATTGAATTATTGCCTGAAATCACCATCTTCTAAGTAAGCCACGAACACTTTAAACCAATTAAGAAAAACAGGGAGCAAGAACACGTGAGTTTCATGGAAAGTAGAAGTATTGTAAATATGATATTAGGGCCTCAATGCCTTTAACAATGGTGGGGCAAAGTCTATTTCAAAACGTTCTACTTTTAATTTGAAAAGTTCTGGATTGTAAATTTAGAAAGATTTTCTTGGTGAACCTTTAAATTCATGACATAAAGTTGTAGTAAACGTGAAGAACAACAAAACTGATGTTTCACATTGTAAACCTCTTTAGTAAAATGACAGATAATCCTGGTGTCAGTTGTGTGAGCTTGAGGTGTGTATACACAAAATTATCCCTCGCGAATTTACTCAGAATCTGCTCTTTGAAACAGAAGCTTACTGTAGGTCATCACTTGGCTGTCCATAAGAATAAATCACATTACTAGCCGTACTACTAATCAACGGCTATCAGCGAATTTTCAAACAGTGCCATGAAAATGCTTATATTGTGCAAAGTGCAGACATGCGTTGTTTTGTGTCTTTTCCTTCACCACCACTGACTGGTTCATTGGACGTCTTTCACATTCATCGATTCCAGCTTAACATATCCATTTCTTACCCATCTGGGAAATAAAAATGCTCTGTCCAGTTACCCTCACTCTTCACTTGTTCTCTTGCCGTTAGGACTCCAACAAACTGTGCCAGCGGCAAACCTGCTGTCCTTTAGACTCTTTCATCAGAGTCCAGTGGGTGAGCTCCTCCTCTCCGGAGCTGTTGAGGCCGAGCGAAATCCATCCGATCATCTCCTTACGCTTCATGCTGCGCTTGTTGTAGACGGAGAGGATGAGCGTGACGTCTGATAGCTGGAAAAGAGCTACCTGGAAGACAAACGTCTCTTTGTACGTTGGGTTGGGCTGTCCTCGACAGATGGATGTCTTACACTTGGACATCTCGTGGCCCATGGAGTTCAGTAAGGTCAGCTTAACATATGTATCTGGGCAAGAAACAGAAGTAGAAAATGAAAGAGGAAATTATGTAAACTCTAATGGCCTGTGTCCACATAGCGCCTTTTTGAAACGTTGTTTTCCTCCTTGCTCTACGGCTGTATAGAACATTATATAGTAGGGCTGTCAATCATTTTAAATATTAAATCGAGATTGATCACATGATTTCCACAGTTACCTCTCGTTTAAATCGCAAATTAATTTACCTTAAAGATAGTTTTTTATACTCTTATAAACATGGTAATGGACAAAGAGGATTGCTTTATACAAAATGTATGTTCATTATAATTGCAATAATCCAAAACAAAAATAGCTGTAGCCACAGTATTTTCAATGTATGCTATTTTATTCTTCTACTATACTTTATACTTCTAACGCTGGTCAAAAATAATTGTCGCAGCGTTATTAACGCAACCCTAACAGCCCTCATAGTAGCACAGACAAATAATACAATCCACGGGGAGCGATGCTAGTTTGTCATACAACATTAATGGTACGTTGACGAGATATCGTTGTGACATGGTTTTAACTGATGGCACCTGACTTGAGTACTGGATCATTTGTGCAAAATCCCACTGTTTCCTCTTTGTATTCTCTTTGAAATTAAAGCATTACTGCACGCTGCAGCTGTGTTTCCTCTGCAGCAGAGTGTGACCCATTTTCCCCCACAAAGCATTTGTACTTGTAATAATGTCACTGCAGTCGGTGTATACCATCATGACCACATAGGATGCTGCTTTTCTCCTGATCAAACACGAATCGCAGCTGTGAGTGTTCCTGATAACAGAGCGAGAACTCAAAGGGTGCGAACGGTGTTACTTCTGTCTTGTTGCTATGCAACTACTGTACGTCTAACCTAAAGTAGGGGATCATGTTGAAGATAAAAATGGACTAGAAAAAGTTAGTAATGCCTGTGCTTAGAGGATAAGGAGCCTCTTCTAAAACAGATGATGTAGCTAAAATTAATGATCCTCATCAGGAAGCCCTCCAGGAGCTGCTATTATTTCTCTGACTTTGACATAATGTCAGTGTCATGACATACATAGAGACTTGTAGAGCCCAGGGCAGTGTCCCAAAATGTGATGCATGCCTGCTGCAAACAAATGAGAACATTCAAATACATATACCACGTCCCTGATGCGGAATTGTAATGCGTCACAGCAACGGTAGTAACAGACATTGCTCGAAAGCGGAAATCTAGCTTACAATTCTTATAATCAAACAACAAAAGATACTTTTTGTACAGATTGTAATGTAACTGATAATATTCCCAAGCTGATTCCCTTCAATTTGAGTGTAAATCAGTGCCTATTCCGAAAAAAATCACTCCCAATAAATCTTTTTCATTTATCGAGGAGAAAAGTAACCACTGGCATTATCAAGTGATTTAGCATTCACCGTTTCCTTTTTCCACTCCTCATTTCCATGCCTAAATCATGATATCAACTGAGGCAAATCCAGCGGAAAGCAAACGAGGCGAGACTGGCAATCACAATGGCTCTTTGAGAGTGTTTCGCCCCTCGTCTACCGCCGCACTCCGTAATAATGCTGTGTATTATGTTCCTGTCTAAGAGGGAGTATAAGGAATGAATTGCCGAGGCTTTCATGCCGTCGAGTGCCAGCTGCCTTCCAACGCCGAGCTCACCGCCTCGAATCACACATTCAGTTGCTCTCTTTGACATAAAAGCACAGTGGAAAAAATAGCCTTGATTTCTTTTTTGACTGCTGCTGAATGGGCTCTGTAGAGCTGTGGATGTCTTAAGTGGTCAGTAGCGGTGATGCATGGCTCTTTGGTATTGTTGCTGAATGAGAGGGGGCTGCGACTGATGATTAACTTGACTTGTCGCCTCCGTACTGTTTTGAAATGATAGAAAAAGGAGCTCTGAAATTGCTCCGCATCTTTCACCACGCTCTTTCCACTTTGTAACAAAGTCAATCAAGGCCTTCATGAGGATTTTGCACAAAGATTTTTCCCTGTTAGCAGATGTGACTATTTTCTAAATGAAATGTGGATTCGGAATGTGGATATGCTATTCAGGAAAGCACAAACAATATCCAAATCTGGCAGATAGTTATTAGTTACATGAATAAAAGGAACGCAGCAATTAATGGGAGGACAGGGCAGTGTGTCTTCCAGATGAATATGGATCTCTCTGTTCCTTTTCTGTTTCAAATGCTGCAAGCAGAACTGTAAAATGTTAAATTATAACCAAAGCATGCAGAAGTGTGCTGTTAGAATAAAACCAGCAGTGGATGACGCACAGCTTTTCCTTCTAGCTGGAGTTAGCATCCTAAGTGTTACTTCTGAGGTAAAACATAAAAGACTTGCAGGCATCACGAACACGACACAGGTAGTGAGAGTGGGAGCAGGGGTCGTGCAATACATTCAGTACACATTAAAGAACAAAGGAACAGGGGCTACAGCAAGCAGCTATCTCCATGGATACGTGTTTGAAGAGGGTGCGAATGTAAAGCATGTAATGCTATGGTTTTCTTTGAAAAGTAATTTTGATTTAGTACCATATTTTACTTTCAGAAACAAGCATTATGTATTTTTTGCCGAGAGTTTGATGAGAATAATTGATACAACTCTTGTGTTTGTATGCTATGTACGCAGCAACAGCCAGGAGACTGTTAGCGTAGCTTAGCATAAAGACTGGAAGCAGTGAAAAAAGCTAGCCCAACTCTGTAATTAATTACCCACCCACCAATAACTCAAAAGCTCTCAAATGAAATGATGGTATCCCTCATGAGTAATTCATCCCAAATGATGACGTTATTTTGTAGTCCTACCTGGAAGTTAGCATCCCACCATGATACCATGATAATGTCCACAAAAAAAAAAATCACGGTCAGTGTTACCACTGCTAAGCTAAAGGTGGCTAATGTTGGGCCTGAAGACATTTGGAAGTCTAATTTATCCGCTTGTTAGCAACCGCTGTTTTTATGAAAAATAGAAGGTTCAGACATTCACCAGTGGGGTATTTACTGACATATTTTATGTTGTAGAAAAAAGTGTGAACATCTCTTAAGCCTCTGTTAACCACAAATCATATTTCAAGCAATTAACTAAAAACAGATTCAAGAAAATTACAGAAAGTGGTTGAATGCTAACTGATTTTCAGGTTTTAAGACTCATTCCTGCACCATTCAATTGATCTTTTGATTTATAACTCTCTAAAACTGATATGCTTATTTCGTATAATGTTGAACTGTTGCTTAAAGTAAAACAATTATAAAAATCCTAATTAAGTTGACAAGCTCTTGTGCTAAATGTCTATGTTTTCCTCGTAAATCATTATTAACAAAAATTTTTTTTTCATATTTTAAGGGAAACCAGATAAGTAAATAAAATAGTTAGAAATGTAAACTGGGTATATTACAAATGGACCATTGGAAAAGTGTTCCATGAAGCATCCATGAAGATAGTATGAAATGGTCGACAGCGAAAGCATCTCACTATGCGGCAGGGACAGAGACTCACCTCTGATTATATAAACCTGTCCACCTATCAAGTGTTTTAGACAACAGAACAGCCCGTCTGACAACAAGGGTTGGACAGCAGTAAGAAAAAACAACAGACCAAGATGTCAAAAAGGTAGTAGGGTTAGAAATATCAGGAGCAGACATGACAGAAGATGCAAGGGAAGAGAAACAGGGTCATTAGGCCACAACATCATACAAAGTTCAATAAGAGGCGTTTGAACTTAAACCCCTGAAAACTGAGCAGGAAACAGGGATCAAACCGGAGAGAAACTGAAAGCAGGTAGAGCACTGACATAGGAATATGTTTTATACTTCTGTCTGGATCATTCTTAGTTGAATAAATGAACGGAAATAACATACATTTCTTATACATTTAACAAAGGTCTTTCACATTAGCTTGGACTACATTCAAGTTCCTTGTTTTTCTACACTGAAAAAGCTGAACCGTTGGCTTTAATTAAATGTATTATGTCAACAGATTTCACATAACTGTATTAGGTTAGTTGAAAGCAATAATATTAAGTTTAAATACAAAATATTAGGAAATCTATTGACATAAAACATTTAATTAAAGTAAACGTTTCAGTGTTTTCAGTGTAGTGTGAGAGAACCATTTACAATTATACCAATTCAAAAAGGTTTTTTACTGACAGTAAAGTCGATCACTTCAAGGGTTTTCATAAAAAACACATTTATTAGTTTGTTTGGTTTGCTAATCTGTCAAAACATTTTGAATAAAGTTGGTGTAGAAAAAACATTATTAATTGTTGTTACATTTGCTGTATATACGATCCGTGGTGGCAAAACAAATTAAAACTAGCAATACTCAATTCTGTTACAAGTACTGGTCAAATGTACCATTTTAGAATCATATTCAATTCCTGGATTCTGGTGATAACATTTAATGTTACTTTGTATACTTCTGCTGAATATTCCCCTAAGTACTGTACTGTATATGTGAAAGTGTATTTATTAGTTGATTTATATTTTGTATGCCCTAATAATCTGAATCTGTAAAGTTACTAAAGCTGTCAGATATTCATCACTCTTTTGGCAGTGACTCAAATAAAAACGTTTTAGGGTACTTACTGGGTGGCTTGTTGGCTGCCAGGTTTTTAAAATGGATGCCTTTGATGATCTCCACGGAGAGACGTCCTGTCGTGGCGTTGTACACCAGGCCCACGAGGATCTCCGGTGTTGAGGTCTGACTGACAGACTGGAATGATGAGGCGCTCTCACTGCACGTCATATCGGAAAGGCTGACCTGGGAATCACCACCCTGGAAATGTTGGCAGGCATTTAGAAATGAGTTCACTGTTATATCTATAAGGAAAGTCAGGGTCAATATTCCCCTATCTAGTTCAATATTGAGAATGTTCATTTGTTTTACCTTGTTCTGAAATCCTAAACAGGTCTTACCGTGAGAGCACAGCATGGGTCCAATATGACGGGCACAGACATTTTGCCCTGAAGGTTGAGCTTGGTAAGGTAGAACATCTTCTCCCCGAGCACCTTCTCCTTCTTCATCCGCTTCATACTGTAAAGGCGGAATCGGATGGCGTAGTTGCTGATCATCTCTGACTCCACGTGGCTGAAGCGGAAGGTCTCGCTAAAGATTGGGCAGGGGCCTCTCTGGATTCCTGTCTTGGCTCTCTGCTTCTTGGTGGGCAGCAGCACCAGGTGGACCTGCCAGGAGATGTTGCCCGTGCGTTTCAAGGCGGGAAGATCCGACACTGCCATGATGGTAATGGCCAGCTGCTGGTCGTCTGAGTCAAAGTCAAACACAACGTCCAGAGTGCCATATTTGGCAACTGAATCTGGTTCATAACCTTTAGGGAGCTGAGCTGCTGATCCACGGGCTGACATGTCCTGAAATAACCAATAAACATGTTCAATGTGCAATAAAAAACTCAATGTAAATGTTTGCTTTGTTTCAATTCGGATACTTCCCTTAGTATATTGCAATGTCGTAAACTGTGAACACTTGTGCAGTTTATCTTTTGAACAAGGATGTATAAAGACAACTTGATACAAATTGGAGGCGGGGCCCTTTTCATCACTAGGAAAGTTTCCCTCTGGCGCATGAAGCCAAAATGGCCTGACTCTCGAGAACTAATTTACTCATCCAGGGAACTGGGCCCATAGAGCATGTGCACTTGCAATTCCCTTAAGCCCTGCCTCCAATCAGCTGTCATAAGGACATAACGGCTCGGTCAAATGAATGGCAAGGGAAAATAACTCTGGATTTGATTTTAGGATCTAATTATACAATTAATGGTTATTCAAGTGTTAGTATTTGGAAGTTGATTTAGCTTAAAATATATAAACGCAGTAACAGACTCTTTCCCAATGTAATTCAATTGGAAAATGTATTTTAAAGATCTCCTATCATGCTATTTTTAGGCATATATTATGGGTATAAGATATATAAAAATATATAAAAAACATATCTATGATGTGTTTTGCTCAAAATACCAAACAGATCATGGATTTTAGACATCCCTCGTATCCCTCTGTTTCAGCCCTGTTATGGCGCATTTCCACTGCAGGGCCTCGCGTGGCTTAGTTCGGTATAGTTAGGCCTTGGTAGGCCAGGCTCACTTTATGCTGCGTGTCCATTACAGTTCAGGAACTGGGGTAGTAACTATAGTAACGCAGTGTAGGCGGAGCCGTGACGTCATCTTCAATGCGAACCACACAAAACCAACATCAGCCGTTAGCTGTTATCCCTCAGAGCTCACAGCTCCTCATATCTGTTCAGAAACAAGACAAAAGTTAAACAAGTACACACCACAGACTGCCTGTGTCATGGCGAATACAGTCGCTGGTTTATTTATGTCTGTATAGGCCGTTGTTGTGAGTGTGGACGGTCGGAGCATATACTGCGTTAGCTTAGCCGATCTCCATTCAGAAAACACGCATTTTAAAAGGTTTTTTGCCTGCCGTCTGTCTGCAGACTTGTCAAAGCATTAATTCATGGTTTTTACTAACCGGTATCAGTATGTTTTTACTTCGGCATCATTTTGAAATGTGTATTACAATTAAATCACGGTCAAATATGTTCATTTTTTTGTAGTTGCCAGCGATTCTCTCACTAGTTTAGTATACTCAGCCCGGTTGTTGGCCCGGAAAGAACGTCGATTTTGGAGAGCCAGAAAACTGTGAAAAAGTACCCGCTAGCCGGAACTACGCCTAGTGGAAACGCAACCAAAAACGGGCCGGGCACGGCACGGCACGCTTAAACCGTGCTCCGCGCTGTAGTGGAAATGCGCCATTAGAGAATGGCTGATTATTTGCTGGCCCCGCCCCCTTTTGAGCAGCAGGCACACTGTGAGGTCTGTGACGAGCAGGCTGTCTGCTCTGCTCAGATGCAGCTAAATTCTGCCGTGATTAAATGCCATATCATGTTCCAAACCACTTCAAGGATTATTTCTGAAACAGTATGGAGCTCAAATGCTTTTTCTCTTGCAGGTTTACTACAAGGTGAGTTGCTTTTTTACATATACTCTCTCCAGTACAGGTTAGCTCTGAGTGTTAGCAATGCTTGCTAATATAAACAAAGACCATATTACATCCAAAACACGTCGGGCATTGTTTCTGATAGCGACGTTTCTGATAGGGCAGCGGGTGTAAAGCCCACATTTCCAGCTCACTTGCTGGGGGTTTGATTTTGACTATGTAGTAGTATCTCAAATCACACAGCTGCCGTGCCCTCAACGGAAATGCCAATCACAGTTGTTACCTCTAACAACAATAATTTGCGATACCAAATCTTTACAGACTGCTCATTTAACCGTATAAAACTAACAGTGGCTTATTTTCGATACAATTATATATATTATATTGGTATGTTAATTAAACAGGGAAGGAAAAATAATTGTAAAATGTATTTAAGAGTGCTATGTTTACCGGAGCAACAGCAATCGTCTCTTCGTCTCCAGCTGAATTTGACCATGCTTTGCATTGAGAAACACCTAAACACTTAAAGGGGACCTATCATGCAAAATGCACTTTTGTACGTCTTTTATACATGAATATGTGTCTCCGGTGTTCCAGGGAACTCACCAAGTGTCAGAAAACAAAACCCTCTCTATTTTCCTCCATACCCAAATCTCTAAAAACGGGGCTGCAACGCATCTGATAAAAACTGATCCAGATTTGAACACGTTACTGACGTCAGGACGGTGGCGCTACGGCTATTGGGCCAACTCTCCACCTATCAGGGGAATGTGGGGTTGGGCCACGGCCGGCCATTGCCGCTCGAAAGCGCTGGAGACGCTGTAGTACATATGCCAGGCCTGTAAGTGGCGCTGTAGTCTGCCACAAAAGCAGCGAAGAAGACTTCCCGCGCATGGTTGCCATGGTTGCCCTTCTGTTTATTCTCCGCTGTGGCTCTTTTTCTCCCTCCCCGAGGTAAGCGTTTGCTCCTGCTGCTGTAATTCAATGCAATCCCTCCCCGTCGAGGCAAGCACTGTAATTCTCTCCGGTTAGTCCACCAGCAGATGACAAACACCCACCTCTCCGCCTCTTCCAAGGAACGAGGGGACCGTGCGGCAGAGTTTCAGTTAGGTTTTTTTTTCGCCAGTCAAGATGTCCGTTAAAGTTTAAATCTTCCAGACAAAATTAGAAAAGTGCCGGTCAAAGGTCTTCTTTGTTATTTATTGAGCTTTAAAACAAATGAATAACGACTCTATATAATAATATAATAAAACACGGAGGACGGAGATCTCCCCCCTCTTCTGACAGCCCAGCAGCTGTTCAGAGCACGCTCCCCTCTCCTGCAGGGGGGCGTGGTCAGCTGCAGCTCACAGAATCAGCCCCCTGCAAAAACAGTGCTGGAAAGAGCAAATGGAGCGAAATGAGGCATGGCTAAAATGCAGGATCTGTTTGGTATTTTGAAAAAAAAACTATATTTATATAATTTATATAGGTATGGCCCTACAATATATTGTTCAAATATAGCATGATAGGTGTCCTTTAAAAAACAGCAAATGTAAATAGAAGAAGTATGCAAATTAAGACTCTCAGGTACATCCTGCATCCCTGGTATTTACCTCTGGGCTGAGGACAGCTGTACTGTCACTGGGTACGTCCTCTTCGTAGCCCTTGTGGAAGTTACTCTCAGAGTCGTGGCCGTCGCTGCACTCACTGGGGCATTTGCCAAAAGACAGGTGGGGACTGCCGCTGGTGTAGGACAGATCACACTTTGCGTCTCCCAGGTCCGACAGCGTGCAGGACATCCTGGGAGAGCCGTTCTCATCCTGATAGGGCGGAGGCTGAAGCTCATCCAGCGGCGGAGTTCGGCGCATCCTCTGGATGCAGTTGGCTGCTTGGGAGAAAGTCAAGAAAGAGATGGAGGATCACAATTATGAACATATTTTTGATGTATCATATGATGATATGATAGAACGTACAGAGATCTTATAGATGGTCACTTTAAAAACTCTAATCAGGGTATAAATGATCTTTGGATGGAATGCCTCAAAATGTGGTATCCAGACATTCATGGTCCCGAGAGTATAAAGTCAATTGTACAGCCCTTGCAAGTCAGAGACTTCTCTTATCCTGTGAAATATCCCAGCATTACTTTGATTTTAATGTGTGTACAACAATCATTACAATAATTGCCATTTCTGAAAACTTTGTGACGGCCGCACATTGATTTAAGGTGTTTCTTCTAAACTGTAGTGGCAGGGGAAAAGGTTGAAGGCATGTTGTTTATCATGAAATGAACTATGATACATGTATATTATTCTCGCAACTGCAGTTGTTAATGTCCACTGTTATGTACGATTTGAGGGTGTGGGTCTGCAAGCCTCATCTGCATATGCACCTGTCACGGCACGCCCAGAGGCTTTTTAGTGGGCGCGTCACCGGGACGCCAGGGGTTGGTTCTCACGGGAGGAGGAAGTATGTGTGTGGCGAATGCGGGTATTCAGCGGGATATTTAAGTTTCCTCAGCATGTATACATATGTTAAAATGCAACGGGGAAGTAACTGAATGTGGATATTGCATCGACCGACCTGGAAGCACGTCTCCGTGGAGAGGACGCACATAGAGAGATGCTCCTTTGTGCCACGCCGATCATCGTGTTTTCCTTTTTTGTGGATTATAGCGAAAATAGGCCTACAAACATTTCCATTTTTTGCTGCCGACGGGCGCAGGAGCAACAGCTTTTTTTCAATGAACTATAGTGGCCTGGATTAGGCAGTAAAGACAATTTCGGTTTATCGCCGAGCTGACTTGTTATGTTTTGTTTGTGTTTTGCTTAAACTGTCAATATAATTGAATAACGTATAAAACCTGTCTTTGTTTATTTTGTGAATGTGTGGATGTAGACAGTAGTAAATACACTTCCGTGGGGACTATTTTGTGGAAAGAGTAGATTTTCCGTTTATCAGTTCTGTTTTGCCTTTATAATATTATTTCATATCAAGAACTCATTGTGCGTTTATTTAACACAGCTATTTTTGATAGTTGATCGTTACAACTTTCTTCCTCAGGATCAGGATTCTTATTCTCAGTGCAGCTAGGTGCCTTCTCCTCTGCTAAAGTCCCTCTTACCTGTGGGGTTCCCCAAGGCTCTATCCTGGGCCCCATCCTCTTTTTACTGTACATTACATTACATTTTTACTGTACATTTACTAGGTTCAATTCTCACTAAACACAATATTCCCTTCCACTGCTACGCCGACGATGTACAGATCTATCTGCCTCTCAATTCAAATGTCAACTCATTACAGCAGTTGATGGACTGCTTAACAGAGATAAAATCCTGGCTGAGCCAAAACTTCCTCAACCTCAACGAGAGCAAGACTGAGGTCATCTTTTTTGGACCCCAACCTCCAGCCTCTCCGGTTGATATTCTGGGCTCTCTCAATGAAAACATCCTCCCCTCTGTCATGAACCTTGGAGTGACCTTCAGTAGCACTTTTAAATTCGATAAGCAGGTCAGCACCGTAGTCAAATCCTGCTTTTTTTAAATAAGATTATTGGCCAAGACCAAGTCGTATTTATCTTTTAAAGATCTAGAAAGGGTTATTAACGCCTTTGTTACCTCGAGACTGGATTACTGCAACGCTCTGTATGTGGGTATGGACCAGGCCTCAATTAAACGCCTGCAGCTAGTCCAAAATGCAGCTGCACGTCTTCTGACTGGCCATAAAAAGCGTGATCACATCACCCCAATTCTGGCCTCACTACACTGGCTTCCAGTTCGGTTCAGAATTGATTTTTAAATCCTTTTGTTTGTTCAACTGCATCTATTACTGGAGATGCAAGACAACTTGATTGTATAGCATATTTTAAAAAGCTCTATTGTGCTTTTTATGGATTCCCCTTCCCTGTAGTGTGTTCTATAGGTTTGTGTGCAGGTCAATGGTCTGCAAAGGCTAAAATCCCTGTGAACCCTCCAGAGGGAGTTTCTTTCCCACACACTCCCTCCCTAGCTGAAACACTTGTATTGCAGTCCTTTGTTTACTTCCGCTACATAGAGACATCACTGCGTAACACTCGCATCTATTGGCTAGCGCTCCAACACACTGTACATGATAGGCTAAGGGGTGGGACATCTCTAAGCAGACTGGGCTCTGGTTTCAGACAGAGGGTGAAAAGAGGTGCTGCAGCACAGGCAGTATGAGAAAAATAAAGAGCTTTTTGAACATTAAAGCATGGAGACATGTCACAGTAGAGGCACTAAATACTGATATATACCTGAAATGAGCACAATAGGCCCCCTCTAATATACACAGTGTAAAGTGCTTTACATAAGACATTGTGCAGATCCAAAGACACCCTTTATTTTAAGCAAACCCAATGGCAAACATATTTTTACCTTACTGTAGTTAAGACATTTTAAGGGAAGTGTTCTTTTAATTGATCTGTGAGGCATTGCAGCTACAAGCAGCCTCACCATCTTTGTACTGTACCTTGATGTCGGGGACATCATTATATACAACATCTGCTGATACGTATTCTCTTTTATTGACTGTAGACTGATTCACCCTCTCAAATATCTTAATCCACTTTTAACAATACAACAAAGGCTGGACAGCACTCATAATTAAAGGCTTACACACTTATTAACGCATAGTACTACGCATTTTATATTTTATTTACTGAGGTAAGTGTGAAGTGTTTAAACATTTAGCTGCATTTCAATGTAACAATATAATGATATAATTCAAGTATAATATTGATCAGTCAAGTCCTTCTTCAGCATTCAGTCATACACTGTTGTGTGTATTCATGTTTTATTCACTCTGACAAACGGAGCTCATTCTGCCCGCCTTGTGAGCATAATGAGGAATCTTTTGAATACACAACCTAAATAAAATATCAGATATGCACCATTAAAGGACCAAACTGAATGCTTCTTAATCTGCCACAGATGTCATGCCTATCACCTTTCTAAATGATTCAGTTTGCCTGGAAGGCAGAGAATAGGACTCTACAGAGACTCTCTGTGGGACTTATAAAGAAACCTTGAATAGTGTTGTCAGCTGCATTCTCAAATCTGCCTCCTTGTCCAATTTGGATTCCCCAAAAATTGAGCAGCCGATGCTAATACTCCCATAGGGACACTGGCGAAGAGTGCTTTAAACCTCCGTCTCTGTCAAAAAAAAGAAGGAAAACAAAAGATGAAAAAGAAAATAACTCCGGGGAAAAAATATATTCTTTTTCTGTCTCCAGAACTTTTGGAAAAAACCCACTGTGATGACGTAATCCTCCAGCTTTCTCCCAAGTTCTTTCAAACTTTCACTCTTAATAATGTCAGTTAGACATCACCTCAAAGTGGCACATAACAGTGGTAGGGAAGAGGCAAAGAAGTCTAAAACTAAGTGTCATGGAGGGCTTGATAAAAGGAGCAAATCCATTTTGAGCAGCTTTTTTCCCCGCTGAGCCGGGGGCGGTTGATTTGATGGAAGCTGCTGTGTAAAAGCACTGCTCTTTTCTCCAGCCTACTAATTGGGATGGTTACCATTCCTCGTCTCGTCTAACCCACCCTTCCTTCACACACATTCATCCCCTCTGTGCTGGCAGTCGCCTTGTTTTGCCTTCTTGTACCTCTGTGAGAGGGAAAACAGTTTGTGCTTTGTGAATCTTGACTGAATCTCAGGTATAAATATCGGATGACAAATGAGCTAAGGGAGAACTTAATTGTTCTTTTTTACGACTACAAGGACCCCCTTGTTTAGTGGCACTTTCTGGAAAGAGAGTCAAGATTTGCCAAAGTACACACTGTGGCCCTAATACAGTTATTGGACCTTGGTCAAGATGGAGAACTCTGAAGTGAATAAGTACACAAAAGAAAAACTTAAGCAAGGAAAATTAACAAACCTAGACAAAATGGCACGAAGAGGGCTCTTCTTATGTTTTATCTTTTCAAAACACTAAAGCCTACCTGTATATTATCAACCACAATGGCCATCTGGAACGAAGCTAAGTGGTAAGTGAGAGTTGTTTGGAAAAAGTCTGCAAACACCGCTTTGATTAAATGTTTGTTTCGTAACAACTGCGAACAAGGCAGGGTCAAACCCCATTAGGCAGAAGACCATATCAGTTTATATTGCATGTTACTGTCAAATTAATGTTTGTAACACAAGTATAATCACCCTGATTAAAACACAGAAACGTGTTTTCAAACACAAGTATTATATTGATTTTATAAATCTGTATGCATGCACGGATTCAGTGTAAAAATCGACAGTAAAAAAGGATTTACAATGCATTTTACGCTTGTTTGTGAAAATGATTTCAGCTATATGAATGCCTTCATTGATGAACTGGCTTCCATTTCCGTTTCCAAATATAAAAACGTATTTTAATGGTATTTGATGGCACCTTAAAAAAATGCATTCATTCAAAATCTGATGTACATCATGACAAGTTGTGATTTTACCACTACTGTATGTGCAGGAATAAACCAAAAGTCATGCTGTTTTACTCTTCTTTTCGTCAGGCCAGGCTCACTCTCGTTGCTTAAGCTAAGTATTAATGTTGTATGACTTTCTAATTTACTCTTGGAAAGAAAGCAATTAAGTGCATTCCAAGATGTCCAAAACTATTCCACAAAGACTTGAACATAACTGACATCTTGGTTCATATATTTTTTAGGTATTGAGATAAAGCAGAATTGATATTTTAACATAAATATATTTTTTAAATGTTTCTCTTAATGGATAAATATATTTTAATTCTTATTCTGAACCCTTTTTGAATGTGTTTAAGATGGCATGTACTTATTACAATGCCTGACTCAGCCACTTTACAAAATCACTGATTAATGCCCTTGAAGTCCCAAAAATGAAGAATGACTCTGATTG